TTTTAACAAGATAAGCAAGATGAAACTGAAATCTTAAGTACTACCTTTATCAGGTTCAGGTTATCAATATCGTACTACTTCTTTAAAAAAGCTTTGGAAGGTTCTTGTGTGTTTTGTTTACTTTCTATGCTCTGGAAGAATTTATGTAGCATTAGGACTATTTGGCCTTTAAAGGTCTCAGAAATTCCATATGAAACTATTTGGGCCTGGTGTTTTTTGTTTGTTTGAGACAGAGTTTTGCTCTATCACTGATGGTGGAGTGCTGTGGCACAAACATGGTTAAGTGCCTGCCTCAACTTCCTGGGCTCAAGTGACCCTCCCACCTTGGCCTCCCCAGTAGCTGGGACTACAGGTGCATAACACCATGCATGGCTAATTTTTTTCTTTTTTGAGATGGAGTTTCACTCTTGTTGCCCAGGCTGGAGTGCAATGGCATGATCTCAGCTCGCCCCAACCTCTACCTCCTGGGTTCAAGCGATTTTCCTGCCTCAGCCTCCTGAGTAGCTGGGATTACAGGCACGCACCACCATGCCCAGATAATTTTGTATTTTTGGTAGAGATAGGGTTTGAGACCAGAGTCAGGCTGATGTCAAACTCCCAATCTCAGGTGATCTGCCTGCCTCGGCCTCCCAAAGTGCTGGTATTACAGGTGTGAGCCACTGTGCCGGGCCAGGCTGTTTTTTTTTTAAAGCAAATTACAAAAGTGTAATAATACAATAATTTTTGAGTTAAAAGTAAACATATGGGCCAGGCGCAGTCGCTTACACCTATAATGTAGTAATTTGGGAGGCCGAGGCCAGCGGATCACTTGAAGCCAGGAGTTCGAGACCAGCCTGGCCAACATGGCAAAACCCCACCTCTACTAAAAATAGAAGGAGAAAAGAAAAAGAAAAATTTCCAGTCTGCCCAAGACAGTGAAACCCCGTCTCTACTAAAAATACAAACATTAGCCAGGCATGGTGGCAGGTGCCTGTAATCCCAACTACTCAGGAAGCTGAGGCAGCAGAATCGCTTGAACCCGGGAGGTGGAGGTTGCAGTGAGCCGAGATTGCGCCACTGCACTCTAGCAGTGGCAACAGAGCAAGACACCGTTTCAACAAAACGAAAAAAAGAAAAATGTGAAAACCTGGAAGAAATAGGTAATTTATAGAAAAAAGTATACTAAAACTAACCTCAAAAGAGATAAAGTTTAAAGAAATGATTTACATTAAATCAAGAGGAAATTATCAAAAGCCACTCCCGCTCCACAAAAAAGTACTGGACCTGGACCTGGGAACTTCACAGGAGAACTCTACCCAATCTTTAAAGAATAATCCCAATGTTACAGTATTTAACTTTTTTCAGGGCGCAGAAAAAGAAAACTTCAAAATTATTTTTATGAAGTGTTATGAACTAAACTGTGTCCATACAAATTCAAATGTTGATACGCTAACCCTCAATGTGACTGTATCTGGGCCAGGCGCAGCAGCTCATGCCTGTAATCCCAGCACTTTGGGAGGCCAAGGAGGGTGGATCACCAGTGGCAAAACCCCATCTCCACCAAAAATATAAAAATTAGCGGGGCATGGTGGCACACACCTGTAATTCTGGCTACTTGGGAGGCTGAGGCAGAAGAGAACCTGGAAGGCAGAGACTGCAGTGAGCCAAGATCTCACCACTGCACTCCAGCCTGGGTAAAAGAGCAAGACTCCATCTCAAAGGGGGGGAAAAAAAAAAAAGTGACTTTGGAGAGGGACTTTCCAGAGGTAATTAATGTTAAATGGGGTCATAAGAAGGGGACCCTAATCTGATAGTACTGGAATTCTTTTAAGAATTGGGAAAAGCCAGTCTGGGCAACATAGTGAGATGCTATCTCTATAAAAAATTTTAAAATTAGCCAGATGTGGTAGCATGTAGCTATAGTCCCAGCTACAGCTACTCAGGAGGCTGAGGTGGAGGATCACCTGAACACAGGAGGTCAAGGCTGCAGGGAGTCAAGGTCACACCACTACACTCCAGCCTGGGTGACAAAGCAAGACCTTGTCTCTGAGGGGGAAAAAAAAAGGAGTGAAAAGACACCAAAGATCTCTCTCTTTCTGTACGCGCACAGAGCAAATGCCTGTGATGACACAGCAAGAAGGTAGTCCACAAGCCACGGAAAGAGACACTCAGAATGAAGCCAAGCTACCAATGCCATGATCTTGGACTTCTAACCTCCAGAACTGACAGAAGATAAATTTCTGCTGTTTAAGCTATCCAGTTTATGGTATTTTCTTATGGTAGCCCTAGAACGCTAATACATAAAGCAAATACAGGCCAGGTGTGGTGGCTCATGCCTATAATCCCAGCACTTTGGGAGGCTGAGGCAGATGGATCACCTGAGGTCAGGAGTTCAAGACCAGCCTGGCCAACATGGTGAAACCCGTCTCTACTAAAAGTACAAAAATTAGCCAGGCATGGTGGTGCGTGCCTGTAATCCCAGCTACTTGGGAGGCTGAGGTAGGAGAATCAGTTGAACCCAGCGGAGGTTGCAGTCAGTCAAGATAGCACCATTGCTTTCCAGCCTGAGTGACAAGAGCAAAACTTCGTCTCAAAAAACAAAATTAAATAAGTAAAGCAAATACAACATTGATACCAAAACCTGATTTTAAAATACCTAAAAAAAAATACACACTAGCATCACATAATATTAATGTAAAAACTCAAAATATTAGTAAACAATATATAACTTCAGGAATGAAGGAGCAGTTTAATATTAGGAAAACTACTAGGATAGATTTATAGGTAGGGTGTGGTGGCTCATGCCTGTAACCCAAGCACTTTGGAGGCCAAGGCCGGCGGATCACCTGAGGTAGGGAGTTCAAGACCAGCCTGACCAACATGGTGAAACCCTGTCTTTAAAAAAAATAATAAAAAAAAAAAAAATAAATTTTAAAAAGGATAAATTTATAATTAGATCTAAGGAGGAAAATCACATGATCATCTCCAAAAACACTGAAAGTGCATTCAACACTCATTCCTAATTTTAAGGACAAAATAAACAACAAAAATATTTAAAACAGAAACCAGTAGTAAGTTTAAAATGAAAAAAGACATAAATTAGGAAACACTGACAGCAGTCTTGCTAAACTTAGAAACGATACAAAGATGCCCAGAATCCCAACTCTGACTCACCATTACATTTGACATACAGGGAGTTGTGGCCAATGCAAGACAAGGAAAAAAATGACATGTGAAGTAATTGGAAAGATAAAACTTTATTTATTTTTAGGGACGGAGTCTTGCTCTATCGCCCAGGCTGGAGTGTAGTGGCATGATCACAACTCAGGGCAGCCTCAAACACCTGGGCTCAAGCAATCCTCCCATCTCAGCCTCCCAAGTAAATAGGACTACACGTGACCACCACCACACCCAGCAATTTGTTTTACTTTTTGTAGAGATGGGGACTCGTTATGTTGCCCAGGCTGGTTTTGAGCTCCTGGCATGAAAGGATTCTCCTGCCTTGGCCTCCCAAAGCACTGGGATTATAGGCATGAGCCCTGCACCTGGCAGAACTCTTTTTTATATATAGACAGTATGCAACCACATTTTTAAAACCCTGAAGAAATGACAGAAAAAAATTACAAACAATTAGAGTATTTAATAGGTAGGATATAAAACTTTTTAATAAGAATCAAGAGCTAACATATATACCTTAAGAAAAAGCTAGAGGATGGCAGAGTAGGAAGCACCAGGAATTGGTCTCCCCACCTGGGCAACAATTGCCTGGCAGAATCTGTCTGATGGAACTATTTTGACTCTGCGGTGTCTGCTGAAGAACTGCAACTTCCAGGAGGACTGGACTGAAAATTGGAGTTAATTTCATTCCCACACAGTAGCAGCTACCCATCCCCAACCCCAGCCCCATGACAGACAGTTCTGCAAGTGTTGCTGGGGCAGTTGGCACACAGCTTGCAAGAGCCGGGGTGGGCATAAAAGGACCCTGTCCTTCAAACATTGAGAATCTGTGCTTGGATTGTTGACTGCTGCTTCTGATCATAGAGGTGCAGACAGAGATGGGTGGTCACTGTTGTTACAACTCACCCCATTGTTGCGAGGCTCTCCCGCTTTGGGCTGAAGTGACTTCCAGGGAATTTAAAGGGCTGACACCTTTTTACCATCTTCTTTTTTGTCTCTTCTTCTACTTTTGGGAGTCAGACAATAACTAGGACACTTAAAAACAGCTGCATATACAGGGAAAATTAGAAAGTGACTGCACATGCCCCTGCAAAGGCTCACAAAAGATCTGAGACCTTAAGATTACACCTCAGGCTAACCTTTGGTGCACGAAGAGCCTACAAGAATAAAAAAGACAAAAACAACAGAAAAGAGCAAATCCTAGGGAAGAGAGAGAATCTAATTTCTAGAGTTACTAGAGAGCCATCATGTTGTGTTATGCAAGGACTACTGAGAACACAGTGTACCCATGAGAAAGGCAAAGGCCATCTACAGATGCCCTTAGTTTGCCCAACACTATCGACTTTACTTAATGACCCAGGAATCTGCTGCACCAAAAAAAGGTACAAATGGCTCCTGTCTCCCACAGACCTCCACACATACACTTCAACCTTCTAGGATGCTGTATGTACTCTCCTTTCTCTAGAAAGACAAACTCCCTCTGAGCAGAGGGCCCCAAAGATACTTAACAAGGATCACTCCGGCCTCACTCTAGAGTCTGGGGACACGGCCCATAATTTATGTTCCACAGAGGGTCTTCTAAAGACTTCTGAGCTCTGCTGGCCCTTTCTATTCCTATCTCCAGCCCTTGATTTCAAGTCCATCTGTGCCACTAGGGTATCTACAGCCACCAGGTCTTTCCAGAACACGCTACTCAGTAGCCACTGGTCCTGTGCCCACCCCATTCCCCACCTGTGCTGTCTGACATGAAGGGCAGTGGTCCAGTGCTTCCTCATTAGGCCGAAGCACAGTGCCCATGAATGTGGCTGACTAGGACAGACAAGATAAGCAAATGTGGCACTTACAGAGTGTATGATGTCCACCATGTCATAGGCTTTGGTTGATTCCAAAGGGACAATTGTGTCGAGCTCAGGAACCAGACGGTCACTTTAGGAAGAAAAAAGGCAGGTATAGTCAACATAGGAAGAGCCAGTTACCTTTTGTGGGAGGGGAGTGGGAATGGAAATAGAGGAGGCAAGTCATAGGGACTGGGCCAGTTCTGTCCCTGCTGGGCTTGCAAAGCAGTCACCAAAGAGTCATTCCTTTGCAACCACCACATTAACTGAACGTGGGACAGCATCTGGTTTTCTTTTAGAGAAAAAAATGAGCTTATTCCCCTGAACGTTACTCTTTCATTTATCTTCTCTGAATACCTCCTACATTCTAGGTACTATGTAGGGCACTGAAGAACATTAGAGTGAATAAGACACAGCTCTGGGAGATCCCAGCCCAACTTCCCAGAACATTAAAAGAACAAGGACTTAGAAATGCAAAGTCAGAGCTCTACAGAAACCACTGTGGGTTCACATTCCCTGTTAGAAGGTTAATCTGCTAAAGGTCCTTTAAAAAATCAAAACTGCAGGCCCTCTGGGCAAAATCACCACAGACGAACTTGTCACATGCAGGCTCATGGACTCTCTCCTTCCTTCTGCATCCAGGTGTCTCAGCAGAAAAGCTAAGCCCGAGCCCACTCCCACTCTGCAGGAGGACCCAGCAATGTTCCCCTCTCCAACCTCTTCTCTGCAATAGGCTTTCATCCCTTCCTGCCCGATGTGGGCAGCCAGGGCCTACAGTGACACTGAGACGTACACTTTGGCTGAGGTTTGGCCTTGGGTCAAGCCCTGTGTCCATCAAGCTCAACTTCCCAAAAAGCTCTACAATGGGGAACTGAGGGCAGCCCCACCTGCTACTAAAGTCCTCTCTTACTTTTCATTTGCCATATGTATATTTATCTCCCTTGGAATCACATGCAGAGGAGGTATGGTTGGGCCAAAGCAGGCTACTGGGCTTCTGGGCCATAACACCTTCAAATGATGTCCTAAACCCTTCAGAAACTCCAAATAGTATAGATACTCAGAAAGGCTACACCCACATCTCTAGACCTTGTGACCACTCTCCCCTCCATGACTACACACAGTGGGCCACTGAGTATGTTCCTTGAGGAGTGAGCAGAGGCAGACAGAGTGAGGCCCTGGCAACATGACTCTTCAGGGCATCCCTGGCCCAGACCAGGCCCCACAGGAAGGAGTCCAGGTTTAAGCCACAGGATAGTGTCTGAAAATGACCTCTTCCCAAAGAATACAATCTCAAATCCCTTCTGCAGAACAAAGTCCAGGCCAAGCGAGTGCTTGTAATTTGGAGAGGAAATAAAATGGAACAGCCGGAGGTGTGGAGCAGTTCCCAGGCAGGGCCTCCACCTTACTCTATGGTGCCCCCACAACAAGTGGTAGACTCCAACAGCAAGAGAAAAGGTCTTCACAAGATGGCCAGCAACACACCCTTCTTCCCCAGGACTGTCCCAGCCTCCGGCTACAAGCAGTATGCATAAACATGTTTTATGAAGGGCATGCTGTTTGCATCATTTTACATTTATTTATTTCAAAAGGACAACTAGGTCAGAAAAAAGGCAGGTACAGTCGGCATAGGAAGAACCATTGCTCTTCCTTTTGTGGGTGAGGGGCAGGAAAGGAAATGGGGGAGTTCATCATGGGAACTATGCCAGACCAAAAAACCTTCAATCTCCAATTCTAGGTACTTCAGAGTTTCTTAGAAATTTTTAAAAAAATTTTTAATGCTTTGGGCCACTCTTCACCCCCAAGATATTCATCAGATATTACAGAGAGGAAAAAGATAAATAAAATCATCTTTGTTTGCTCCTATATCCAAACATGACATTATCCTCACACCTGGGAGCCACTCCACCAAACTCTGCTACAACCTGCCCAATAAGGCAGACCCTGGAAGTTCTGTCAGGGCAAAGATGGGCAAGCTACACTGCAAAATGAGAGAAGGTGCACCAGCCTACAACCCACCTGGGATCATGGCACTCACGGACCGGAGCCGGGTCCTGACTGCTCAGGGGCAGGTAGTCGAAGAAATCCCGGAGATTACACAAGGCATCAACATCATTCTCAAAAGCTCTATGGGCCACACCTAAGAGAACAGGGGGCATATATGATGAGTTAGGGTACCGGCCAGCCCAAAGCTGCTGCTTCATGACTGTGTCCTCCTAGGACATGCCTATAGCAGACTGTGCTGATAACTCTGTTCTCCCCACCCTCCACTGAGGATGTAATGCCACAGAACACATACCTGTAGGCTGATCCTTCAACTCATGCCGTGCCTGTTCCCTCTGTTCTGTACCCATACCTCTACAGTCACACCTTTCTTTATTTAAGTCCTTGCTCTAATATCACCTCCATACCCACTCCCAGACCTTTCACTTTCCATCACTATACCATGGGGGAGTTCTCCGGTACTTTTCCCGCAGCACCTACTTCCCTGTTTACTGCTGACATCTCTCCTGAAATATCAGCTCCAACAAGGTAATATCAGGCCTGCATATCACTACAGGCCCCAATCAAGAATAATGCACCTGGCAAACAGGTTCTCAGCAACAGTGGAAGGAAAGGAGGGAAGCCACCTGCCCCTAGTGAGGAATCAAGCCATAATTCTCGAAGAGCACTCTGAAATTACACAGCAGCCAAACGAGGCCATAGATAGATGGAGAAAGTAGAGCCAAGAACTCTCTCCCAGGCTCATCCCACCAGACTCCATTCTTCCACCACTGTCCCTACAGTCTCTTGTCCACAAAGCTGCCAGACAGAGCTTTGCAAATCAGATTATGTCGTGTTTCTACTCCAATGATCCTCCTTGTTCACTGAGCAGTCCAGTCACTCTCCCATCTCAGAGCCTTTGCATAAACTATTCCCTCTACCTGCAATGCTCCCCACTTAACATATCAATGCAGTTAACTCTAAAATCTGCTCAGCTCTTAACCTCAGTGAGGCCTACAGTTACCATCCTGTTTGAAACTACTACAATCTCAGTCCCCTTTACCCTATTCTACTTTTTTCATAGCGCATAATGCCTTTTAACATACTACATAGTGTACTTATTTATAAAGTTTATTGTGTATCTCCTCTACCAGAATATAAGCCCCATATGGGTAGGGGGCTTTCTTTTGTCTGTCCACAAATGTATTCCTAGCACCTAAAACAATGCTTCACACATAGGCACCCAATGAATATTTGTTTGGTTTTCTTGGTTTGTTTCATTTTTGTTTTTTTTTTTACATTTTTATTTTATTCTGTTTAAAATTTTTAATTCCTTTGCTATTTGTCTTTTTCCACATATTCTAAATGAGTATTTGTTGAATGAATAAAAAGCATTTTCGGCATGACAGATTTTTTTCATTCAAGGAATATTTATAAATGGGTACAGCCACTTTGGAAGAGAGTCCAGCAGTTCCTTAAAAGCATCAAGTAATCATTTAACTCAGAAATCAAAGAGAAATAAAAACATATGTCTACTCAAAAATATTCATATAAATATAACAGAGGCATATTTAAGACAGCCAAAAACTGGAAATGACCCTGTGTCTATTAACTGGTCAATGAATAAACTAGATGTGGTATATCCACACACTGGAGTATTATTCGGCCATAAAAATGAATAAAGTACTGATTCATGATACAACATGGATGAACCTTTAAGAACATTATAAGTAAAAGCAACCAGTCCTGACTGAACTTCTGCTTGCAAAGGAAGGGGAAAAAAAACAACCAGTTACAAAAGATCATATGTTGTATGATTCCATTTCTAGGAAATGTCCAGAACGAAAAAATCCACATAGAGACAGAAAGTAGCCTGGTGACTGCCTAGAGCATAAGTATTTGTGGTGAAAAGCAGAGTGACTGCTAATGGGCACAGGTTTCTTCTCAGGGTGATGACAATGTCCTAAAATTGATTGTGGTAATGATTACACAGCTGTGAATATATTTAAAAACCACTTAATTGTGCAGTATAAATAGGTGTTTAAAATGTACGATATATGAATTACACCTCAATAAAGCTGTTACCAAAAGATTTAAAAAAAAAAGAAAGAAAGAAAAATATATGTATGTATAGGGCACCTTTTTGTGCCTTGCCCTGGGGATACAGAGCCAGGTGCATCAGACACATCCCATCAAAGAGCCTCAGGCCCAGAAAGAAAACCACATACTCCCCTACAATCAAAAAACAAATAAGGCCAGGTGCGGTGGCTCATGACTGTAATCCCAACACTCTGTGAGGCCGAGGCAAGTGGATCATGAGGTCAGGAGATTGAGACCATCCCGGCTAACCTGGTAAAATCCCCGTCTCTACTAAAAATACAAAAATTAGCTAATCGTGGTGGCACGCGCCTGTAGTTCCAGCTACTCGGGAGGCTGAGGCAGGAGAATCACCTGAACCCAGGAGGCAGAGGTTGCAGTAAGCCAAGATCACACCACTGCACTCCAGCCTAGGTGACAGAGGGAGACTCCGCCTCAAAAAACAAAACAAAACAAAAAAAACAAAACAACAACAACAAAAAAGCACTTAAGATTGTGCTGCAGAAGAAACTTTGTCATAGGTAGACATTCATTACTTTAAGCTGTAATAAAAAAAAAAAAAAAAAAGCCAGGTTACACAAGGGTATGTGATACCTATGTTTGAGTTAAGTCTATGTGTATTCATGCTCATCTGTGTAAAAAGACTGCAAGGGTAGAAGCAAAAAATCACTAGTAATTATCTGTGGATGATGGAATATCTAGTGGTTTTTTTATACTTTGTTTTCTAAGTTTTCTACTATTAAAATGGGGAAAATAGCATATTTCATCAAATGTAAGATGCCATCAAGACCCAGCTTTATACTATATAAATATAATTACATTACATTTCATTGGCTGACAGGCTGCTGCCAATGAAGCCCTGAAACAATAAGGCTGGAGTTGATGTTGAAAAGTGTTCTGTTTCCAGACATGTCTTGAAGATGGGGCTAAATGAAGCGGACAGGTGAGGGAAAGGAATGAGTCAAGATCGATGCCAACCTGACACAGAGAGAAATAGATTTGTGGGTGGGGGATCAAGAGCTCTGACTTTTTTAAAACTATATTTCATCTAATCTAAGACATCATCGATAAGACACATGTCTACTTGAGGGACGCTGAGAAGAAATGCTGACAATGAAATGCTGACCCAATGCCTTAACCACAGCCCAATGAGGTACATAAATCAGTTATGCCAGACTTACTGCTGTAAAATCGCTCAAAGATGCAATTCCTCCTGTCTTTAGTTACAATGCTATGTGGTAGGTGATCCATTCACTTGGGTGGTTTATTTTCCAAGAAAACATGGAATTGCAATAATTACTTCAACAACTAACATGTCTTCACTAATATCAGAATCATGCCCTACTCCCAATTCCATGCCTTTCTGTTTAAACAAGAACTTTCTGTTTCAATACTGAGGCACAGAATAATTTTTATACATTTTAAATTTGGCAAGTAATCTTAAAGTATCCCTGTATCTATAAACAATACACTGTATCATATTGTAGCACAATAGGCTGTACCACAGTCTTCCCAAATAAGGTCTGCCAATTAAGTGATATTTCCCAAAACTGCCACCAGGCTCTTTGGCAATGCCCTCTTCTCAATGTTTGAAAACAGTAAGGTCACCTTCAAGGGCTCTCACCTGACATGGTGGTGTGGGTCTTGGCACCACCAAGCTCCTCCTGGGTAACATTCTCATTGGTCACAGACTTCACAACATCAGGGCCAGTGATGAACAGGTAGGAGGTGTCCTAAAATAAGAGATTTCCAGAACAGTCAACCTCAGAGTGCCAGAGCTGGTCACAGTCTTAGAGCTGATTCAGTCAAGATGACAAATGCAGAGAAGATACTGACATGGCATAATGAGGACAGGGTGATACGAATCCAAACTAAAGACCAAGTTTTCTCTGCCTGCCTATTTTTTTTAAATTTTTGTTGCAGATCACGAGGTCAGGAGATCAAGACCATCATGGCTAACATGGTGAAACTCCATCTCTACTAAAAATGCAAAAAATTAGCCGGGCGTGGTGGCATGTGCCTGTAGTCCCAGCTACTCGGGAGGCTGAGGGAGGAGAATCGCTTGAACCCGGGGGGTGGAGGTTGCAGTGAGCCGAGATCGTGCCACTGCACTCCAGCCCAGGTGACAAAGCGAGGCTGTCTCAAAAAAAAAAAAAAAAAATCTCTGTTGCATGGTTCTGTCTTAGCAAATTAACCTGCAGTGTGGCTAACATCTCAAAGTCATTCATCTGTAGAATACAGTAACAGGTGGCTCTTACTTCAAGCTTGCTGTGCACCAACAAGTTTTTTAAACACGTCACAGGACTGTCACTAAAGCCTAAGTAGTATTATCAACCTCATTTACATATGAGGGAACTGAGATATGGAGACTGTATGCCACCAGTCACTTTAAATGAAGCTACTTAAAAATACTGATAAATCAGTGGGACACAGTGGCTCATGACTATAATCCCAACACTTTGGGAAGCGAAGGCAGTAGGATCACCTCAGGTCAGGAGTTCAAGACCAGCCTGGTCAACCTAGTGAGACCCAGTCTCCATAAAAATGTGTTTCAAACAGGTAAGCCTAAAGGCATGTGCCTGTAGTCTTAGCTACTCAGAAGGGTGAGGTGGGACAATCATTTGAGTTGTAGTGAGCTATGATTGCTTGCACCACTATACTCCAACCTGGGTGAGAGAACAAAAACCTGTCTCAAAAACAAAAACAAAAAAACCAATAAATCAATGCTTTGGTATTATGAGAGTGACAGGCTTTTAATTTTCAGTTTCTAATATATAGATAATACAAGCATACTGCATATAATTTAAACAGAAGAATAGGAGATACAGTGGAAAGTAAGTCTAGAGCCCAGCCCTTACTTCCAGGCCTCCAATTCCCCTCCCCAAAAGCAACCACTGTCAGTTTCTTCTCTCCTCCTACAGAGATACCCATGCATCCATAAGCATTTATACACACACACACACACACACACACACACATATGCCCTCTTATTTTCTAACACAAACATTATCTTTCTAACACAAACACTTTCTAATGCAAATATTTTCTTCCCAACATTCTTTCTAACATAAACTGCATTCTATACACACTGTTCTCAAATCTGCTTTTCAAACTTGAAGCTCATTCTATTCCATATCAGTATACTAGGATTTGTATCATAATTTAACTTTCACCAATTGACTGTCATGAAGGTTGTTTCCAAAACTTTAGTATAAGAAATTCTGCGGCCAGGTGCAGTGGCTCACACCTGTAATCCCAGCACTTTGGGAGGCCAAGGCGGGAGGATCACAAGGTCAGGAGATTAAGACCATCCTGACTGTGAAACTCCATCTCTATCAAAAAAAAAAAAAAAAAAAAAAAAAAAAAAAAAAAAAAAAAAATTTCAAAAAAAAAAAAAAAAAAAAAAAAGAAAAGAAAGTCTGTAATATATATTACTACTGTGCTCTCTGAACTCACTATTCATGTTCTTTGCCCATTTCTAATAGATCACTGGCTTCTTTATATACTAAAGAAATTAGTCCTTAGTCTATCATATACATTGTATCAATCTTACGGCTTCTCGGTTTGAGATCTTGATAGAAAGGTCTAGCTAGAAAGGTCTAACTAGAAAGGTCTTCCCCACTTCACACACAGACTTCTACACAAATGTTTACAGCAGCCTTATTTGAAACTGTTAAAAAACTAGAAACACAGAATTTCAGGTTTCCAGTCTAGCACATAAGAAGCTGGAAGTTGATACTCCTTCCTAACAAATAAAGCTGAAGAAGTTGGGGGGGAAAATATCAACAGCTTTTCTTAGATCCATCAGAGAGGTGTGAGGTCACAGAACAAGGCACTACGAAACAGGTGACTGACAGGCAAATGCAGAAAACTGAGGCCTGCAGGGCAGAAACCCACAAGCACAAATCTCCCCCAGAGGATCACACGAGCCCAGGCATTCAACATCAGCCTGGGCAAGACAGCAAGACTCCATCTCAAAAAACAAACAAACAAAATGCTAACGGCTCTCATGGATAGAGTACACAGCAAGCAAGAACAAAAGAGCAACGTAAGCAGAGAAATAGAAATTCAAAAAAAACAAACAAACAAACAAAAAAAACGAAAATATACCAGGTATTGGCAACAATGCAACAGAAATAAAGAATGCATTTGATATGCTTTCTGGCAGACTGGGCATGCTTGAGGAAAGAATTGCTGAGCTTGAGGCTATCTCAAGAGAAGTCACCCAAACTGAAAAGCAAAGAGAAAAAAAAAAATTGGATTAAAAAAAGAAAACTGGAGGCTGGGCAAGGTGGCTCACACCTGTAATCCCAGCACTTTAGGAGACCGAAGTGGGTGGACCACAAGGTCAGGAGATCGAGACCATCCTGGCCAACGTGGTGAAAACCCAACTCTACTAAAAATACAAAAATTAGCCAGGCATGGTGGTGCACGCCTGTAGTCCCAGCTACTCGGGAGGCTGAGGCAGGAGAATCGCTTGAACCCAGGAGCAGAGAGCTGAGATCACGCCATTGCACTCCAGTCCAGGCGATAGTGGAAGACTACATCTCAAAAAAAAAAAAAAAAAAAAAAAAAGAGAGAGAGAAAGAAAGGATGTGAACACGCAAGTCTCAGAAAAGCACAGCCAAGAGCCAAAGAATGAAGAAAACATAGTTTCTAGAAGCCTAGGGAGTGCGAATTTGGATAATAGAGAGCTGTTTACTTCATATCTAAGAGTGTGGCAATAGCAACTTCAGAAGGGAATGTATCTGATTATCATCTTATTGTAGTTGAAATTATATTGGAAATTAGAAAATTTATTTATGAAATTCTACTGGCTTCATTTGTCTATGATTTCTAATATTTCCTTTTGGAGACAGGGTCTCCCTCTGTCACCCAGGCTGGAGGGCAGTGGCGTGATCTCAGTTCACTGTAGCCTCAGCCTCTTAGGCTCAAGCGATCTTCCCACCTCAGCCTCTGCAGTAGCTGGACAACAGGTATATGCCACCGCACCTGGCTAATCTTATTTTATATTTTTTAGAGACAGGGTCTGACTATGTTGCCCAGGCTGGTCTCAAACTCCTGACTTCAAGTGATCCTCCTGCTTCAGCCTCCCAAAGTGTTAGCATTGAAGGTGTGAGTCACCACACCTGATTGACTAATAATATTTTCTAAAGTTGAACAAATCTTTCAAGCCATTCTCATAAAATATGTAAAAATAAGGTAATTGGTGGGGCATGGTGGCTCATGCTTGTAATTGAAGCAGTTGGAGAGGCCGAGGCAGAAGTATTGCTTGAGGCAGAGTTCAAGACTAACCTGGCCAACATAGGAAGACCTCATCTCTTAAAAAAAATAAAGTGATTAAAAACATTAAAAAGTGATAGCACACTGCCGGCAGTGATGCAGAGAAAAGCTTACTGGCATATTCTGTCATGTAATAAAAACTCTCCTCCTAACAACCATAGGCCATAAAGTTTCTATCTGAGGCTGCCCCTTATTTGCCTCTGCTTTGTCGTCTTGTTTGCGAAGCAGAATTTGGGATTTGCCTTTGATTTCCATCGCAATCTCATGTAAGCAGGAAGTAGTGTCTCATTATCTCCAGCGAGTCTAAAGTGAGTCTAAAGCTTCATCTTGTTTTCTAAAACATTAATTATTATTATTATTAGTTTTTGTAGAGATGGGGTCTGTCTATGTTGCCCAGGCTGCACTCAAGTGATGTGCCCACTTTGGCCTCCCAAAGTGTTGGGATTACAGGCATGATCCACCTTGAGCTTCCTCTTCTTTTGATTTTTACAAATTGAGATATGATTTACACATAGTAAATTCATTCTTTTTGGTGTACTGTTCTGGGAGTTTTAACTAATCCATACAGCCATGTAACCACCATTGCAATCAACATCTACAACAGTAGCATTGCCCGCCCCCCCCCACCACCAAATTCCCTTGTGCTCTTTTGTAGGAATTCTCTTTCCCTACCTTTTCCTTTTTTTCTTTTCTTTTTTTTGAGACAGAGTCTTGCTCTGTTGCCCAGACTGGAGTGCAGTGGCGTGATCTCGGCTCACTGCAACCTCTGCCTCCTGGGTTCAAGCAATTCTCTGCCTCAGCCTCCCCAGTTGCTGGGATTACAGGTGAATGACACCATGCCCAACTATTTTTCTTTTTTTTTTTTGTATTTTTAGTAGAGACGGGGTTTCATCATCTTGGCCAAGCTAGTCTTGAACTCCTGACCTCGTGATCCACCTGCCTCAGCCTCCCAAAGTGCTGGGATTACAGGCGTGAGTCACCATGCTCAGCCTCCTTTTTTTTTTGAGATAGAGTGTCTCTGTATCCCAGGCTGGAGTGGAGTAGCAGGATTGTGGCTCACTGCAGCCTCTGTCTCCTGGGTTCCAGAGATTCTCCTGCCTCAGCCTCCCAAGTAGCTGGGACTACAGGTACACACCACCATACCCAGCTAAGTTTTGTATTTTTTTAGTAGAGACTGGGTTTCACCATGTTGGCCAGGCTGGTCTCGAACTCTTGGCCACAAGTAATCCGCCCGCCTCAGCCTCCCCAAGTGCTGGGATTACAGGCCTCTTTCCCTACCATTGATGGTCATGAATTTCATCTTTGTCCCTATAGCTTTGCCTTTTCCACAATATCACATAAATGGAAACATCATTTTTTAAAACCCTTTGAGTCCGGCTTCTTTCACTTTGCCTAATGCATTTGGGATTCATCCATGTTGCTGTGCAGATCAATGTCTTCTTTCATTTCATTTTATTTTATTTTTAAAATTTT